TGTGGAACTGCCTCCATCAGACTGGCCTGTTGGATAAGCAAGTCTGTGGATCATTTTCTTGATTAATGATTGATATGGGTGGGATCTGTCCACTGTGGGGATGCCACCCCTGGGCAGATAGCCATGGGTTATATAACAAAGCAACCCAAGAATCATGAGAAGCCATCCAGTAAACACCTTTCCTCCATGGTTTCTGCCTTAGTATCTGCTTCCAGTTTGGCTTGCCTCAATGATGGACTGCAACAGAAGTGTAAGCCAAATCAACCCTTTTCCAGCTCCCAGTCGCTTTTTCCTGGAGTGTTTATCATAGCAACAAATACAGATAGCAAATTAGGAAACCCACAAGAAAAAGAACCAAACAAAACAACAAAACAAATACTAGACTTCCATTCAGTCAGTTTGGTGTGATGACAGCAGATGTGTGATACTTCTTTAGACAAACTTTGAGATTTGGGGATGGGATTATCCTGTGTCATATCATTTCTGATCCCAGTGGTGGGGAGGTTTCACTTTGTGGTCATATTTTTGAGCTCTCTCAACTTCCTAAGAAATGTTCCCATTTTCCTATCCTCCTACCACATCTGGTCCCAGTGTTGGTTCAGACGTCTGCTCTCATTGCCCTAGTTCTATCATGCAGTAGAATAATACTCCACTAGAGAAAAGGGATTCTCTCATTGAAGATGTGCTACACACCCCGATTCTGTTCTGATATGTGAAGAAACATGGCCTGTGGCATGATGCTGGAACATGCCTTTCCTTCTTTGAAACCAGCTCCCTCTTGCAGCAATGCCCTCCTGCCTCAGTTGCTTCAACCCATTCTCTCTCTTCTTCTCACCATATTCCTAGACAAACAACCTCACAGTGCACACAGACCTCTGAGGCCTCCAATCCCCTACCTGAGTGCCAAGTTCCACTTCCTCATGTACAGTCCAGTTTGACAAAGCTTATGTCACTGCCCACATGAAAGAAACAATGTACAGACAAACACCATTTCATTCCATGGATTCAGCCTGATGCTTGCAGCATCAACACATTTTTTTCCACTGTTAAACACCGTGGTTCACTTTTCCAAACTATGGCTATAATGTTAGCAGGGGACATGATCTTGTGAGATCCTGTCCTATACGCACCAGTATATTGATTGGTTATGTAGTATAAACTTATCTAGAAACCTCTTCAGATAACAAGTGGTTACAGAGTTTTAGATAAATGGATCAGTTATAGAGTCCTTGAAATTTTGGCAACGTAGACTTTTGTGTTGACCACTCCCTCTAACAATATACCCACAGACCAAATTATTGCTTTTCATAGAGAACAATTTAGTCTTTGAGCAGAGAGTGTTGAGATATAATTACATAATAATACCACACTACAAAAGACTAGCTAGCCTCTACCATGGTATCATTTCACTACTTATACTATTTCGTGAACTCTTGATGGTCACGCCTATGCATAATTCCCAGATCCCAGAATATATTACTGTATGGCTGAAGTTTACTACCACTATCTCTGATCATAGTTTAGGACTTCAATTCTAGCAAGTTATAGGGTAGCAATGATCAATCAGGGTAACAGTGATCTCTCGCATTGTCCTTAAAACAAAAATAAATTTCACTGGGATGACATTTTATGTCGAAAATAAAAACCTTGTTTGGTCTTTGTGTTCTACTAATAAAATCAACCAGTGAGAAATTTCACAGAGCTATCCCTAGAAGAATCAAAATGGATTTCAATTCTGCAACACAGTAAATAGTTATTACAGAATTTACTGTTGATTTTTTTTCTGAGACAATGGAATTCTTCTACTTCGGGTACTTAAACTATTAAATCAGAACAAAATGGAATGTCTGTGATTCTGTAAGGTTGCCAATTTAGCAAAAAAAAATTAAAAAAACCATGCATTTTGCTGTGATGTCTTTGTTTCATTTGGCAACTTGCCTCTTTGCATAATTTAAATGCTATGGTTGCATATACACAGAGTGATTTTCTTAATTGATCACTCGTGTTTTCCTAGCCATATGCCTGTCATTAGGGTGTGTGCATTTTCATGTAGAAATTCACTGTTCCTAGTTGGCAGTTCAGCACTTTTAATTATGCCAATGAACCATGTAAAACATTATAAGCCACGAAGAGTATACAAAGAGAAGTAAGTTTTGTAAAACTGAGGGATTAGAAATCACACTGTCTGAAGACAGTTTAATCTCTTCCATTGGTCTGGTTCTACTAGCAAAATGTCATCAACAGGAATTAGAATCAATGATTGGATTTCCCAAAACATCCTATCAGTTTCAAGTTTGCAAAGGATCACACATGTGATCTTACTTGAAAAAGCTCCACAGTCACAAGTAGATATGGTCCAAAATGAAGGATCAAATGACACAGAAATAACACTCTTAAAACAACGTTACAACAATACGTACTTCTAAAGCGAGTGTAGTCATTCTTTCTTTTTGTATCACCAAGAAGAGGTACATAGGATATAACAAGGCACACTTCTGATATTTCTTCAATGATTACTGCTTTTTATATCACCAAGAATAAGTACATAGGATATACTTAATGCCTTCAACCTTCTGCACATGACATTGTTTTAACAGCAAAAGAATTATCTTCATGTGATTTGATGACAGTCCTTGTCCCTTTCAAAAATTATACTAGTTACCAACCTACCAGCACACATTTACAATTTTTTTTATTTCTATTGCATTTCAGAACCCTAACTCATATTTTATTATTCCCTTGGCCCAGGGATAGAGAAAAGAAATAAAATGAAATTCAAGTTGGTTTCACAGACAATAAACATGCGTTATGAATCTGAAAAATACTGTTGGAAGCAGCCAGTGTTCAATGACTATATATTTTAGAAGAATTTCCTCTAAGATATTTTATGATGAAAGTCATAGTCTAGAGCTATTCAGTGCCCTTAGTTTGAGTATTCTGCTTAGTTTCATGAGATAACCACTTTAAAAAGGCAAGCTTATAGCTCCAGAATCACACAATTTAGGTTACTTGCATCATTTCAGCAGGAAAACCAGCTAAATGCCATGGATTTTTTTTTTTATAAACAATACACAGGAAACAGAGGTATTAATGAATTACCAAACCAACTCCTGGCAGTATCATTTTTGTTTTAAGTTTTTATGTATTCCAACATAATCCTGTTTTTCCTATCCAAGTCTTTAAACATTCAATAGCTTTGTTCAAGGGCCTGAAAGATGGATCATCAAGTAAAGGCACTTGCTGTAAAGACTAATGACCTAGGGTCAGTCCCTGAGGTCCACATGGTACAAGGACAGACCCTGTCCCAACAAGCTGTCCTTTGACTTTCACATGCACATGCATCTTATAGCATGGATATGTTTTGTTTTGTTGTTGTTGTTTTGTTTTTTTGTTTTTTGAGACAGGGTTTCTCTGTGTAGCTTTGTGCCTTTCCTGGCTCTCACAATGTAGACGAGGCTGGCCTTGAACTCACAAAGATCCACCTGCCTCTGCCTCCCGAGGGCTGGGATTAAAGGCATGTGCCACCACTGCCCAGCTATGGATATGCATTTTAACGCACACATACACAAATGTAAAAAAAAAAAAAAAAGCATTCATGTATTTGTTCAAATTAAATTGAAACACAATGACCCCTGCAGTTCAAATATACACTCAATTTCCAATAAGATTCTCTCCTAGATGAGTGACTAAGGAGGGACTCAGTCTCTTCAAGCAGCAGCCATACTACCCTGTCAAAGCTGCTCACACCAATTGAAGAATTCTCATATTGGTATTTTAGGCTTGTGCAATTTGCATATGTATAAAACTGTATCCAGATGGGTAAGTGTAAAAATCAAATGTGTACACATCATGTGTAGGATCAATACTTCAGGGTGACCTACTTGGTATGCAAGTCACACATACAGCTAAATATACATTAACTACATTAAAAACAACATGAGAGTCAACTATTTTGTAATTTATAGATTCATTAATTTATCAGTACATGCAAGGACACATATACTAACTGTCTCTTGTACCAACCTCAAACATTGACAGCATGATCTCCCTCCCTCCCTCCCTCCCTCCCTCTCTCTCTCTCTCTCTCTCTCTCTCTCTCCTAACTTCTTTCCTGTTTTTCTTTGAAAACTCTCTGGATCTCATTATGATTGCTTGCTGAGATTAAGATATAGTACACTGTTAGGAAAATGATACAGTATAACTGATGTCCTTATCTATCAGCCCATCTGGTTATATTTGATTGGTGTGCAACTAGGTAGTTCTAATGCACTGTATAACTTGTGCACTGTATTTGTAGTAACAGCCCAAAGGAGCTACTAAAAAGTCAGAACATCTATAGCAGTAGTCCTCAAACTTCCTTCCAAATGCTGTGACCCTTTAATGTGGTTTCTCATGTTGTGGTGACCCCTCCCCAACCATAAAATTATTTTTGTTGCTATTTCATGACTGTAATTTTGCAACTGTTATGAATTGTGATGTAAATATCTGTTTTCTGATGGTCTTCAGCAACCCCTATGAAAGGGTTGTTTGACCCTCAAAGGGGTCATGACCTGAAGGTTGAGAACTTCTGATCTGTAGTAATGCTAATAATGGAAGAGTGAATTCCACACATTCAGTCACCTGGAACATAGGTACTATGGCCAAATTCTATCCTAAAGAAACATTCATGTAAGCACAGGAATGTTAAGTGAATGGGGAAGAAGGTTTTACTTAGTTAGATTAGATCATCTTGTCCTGGACAATGCCTACTTACACAAATTTTATGTAAATACATTTACTTGAAAAGGCCACATGTCATTGGTTTTAATAGGTTCAAAGGGTAACATCCTATTGAAAAATTTAGACTCCTGAACCATTATCCTTATTAGTCCAATGCTTTTATATTTTTGAGCCTTCTATTCTGTATATAAATTTCTTTGGAGGACACAATCAATTTTGTTTCAGTATGTACAGAACTACACATTTCTGGAATGTTCTGTGAGATGTACATTTTCACTTACCTTTTCTGCTGACTGTGCAGTGCCAAAAAATATCGGGATGAAGGCAAGCCATACGATACATGTCGTGTACATAGTGAATCCAATGGGCTTGGCTTCATTAAAATTCTCTGGTACACCCCGAGTCTTGATGGCATACACAGTACATGTGACCATGAGAAGGATGCTATATCCCAAAGAGCAAATGATTTGAAGGTCTGTGATGTCACATTTGAGCACTCCCCTGGCTTGCTCTGGGTTCATTGTCTTATGCTCATCGTAGTCTATGATGATGTTGGGTGGGTCAACCCCAAACCAAATGAACACACCTAGAAGCTGCACTGATATTAAACTGGAAGTGATTGCCAGTTGTGATGTCGGGCTTATGAGTCTGGGAGCTGTCACTGATTTCTTGCCCTGCTCAAATATGCGATAAATCCGGTTAGTTTTTGTTAAAAGGGCTGCATAACTAATGCACATGCCCAAGCCCAAGAAGACACGCCGGAAAGAACACACTGCCACATCTGGTTTGGCAATCATTAGGAAGGTGATGATGTAGCAGAGAAAGATGCCAGTCAATAAAACGTAGCTGAGTTCCCGTCCAGAAGCCCTGACAATGGGTGTGTCATTGTAGCGGATGAAAGTGGCCATGACAAAGATGGTGGCAATGATCCCCAACATTGCCAGGAAGACGGGAATGACAGCCCAGGGAGAATGCCACTCCAGTTTGATGATGGGGATGTTCTGACAGCCAGTTCGATTTTCATTGGGCCTCTGGTCATAGGGACAATGTTGACATGTCATCTCGTCAAACTGATACTGGTATCCATCACAGGGCTCACAGGTCCAGCAGCAAGGGGTTCCCTTTTGTGTCTTCTTCCTCTGCCCAGGCTTGCAGGGCAATGTGCACACAGAGGGTGGGATCTCTCGGACTCCTTTGCCCCATTGCATGTCCTCTATCTGTACATAGCATAAGAAATGAGAGAAAGCAGGCAGGTCATTCAAAAGTTAAGAATTAGAAAAGAAACCATCAATGACAAACAATACCAATGTTATTGCAGCTAACAGTAGCAGAGGAAATTCTCCAGAGCAGTTAAACGGAGATACATGGACATGTGCTCCTTCCCCAGGAGGGTGAACATGGAGGTCTCAAGTAGGGGTACAGGACACACAAAACCAACAGTAATACAGAAAACCTCTTATCTCTCAAAAATAAATATTTAAACACACACACACACACACACACACACACACACACACACAGAGGCTTAAAATACTTTTAGGTAATACTGCAGTGCTGAATACCTCCCCCATTCAGGATTTTACAGAGCCTGTCAACTTCCCTCAGATAATGGCCTGTTCATTGAGAGCTCCTGGAACAGACAGATCCACCTGGATTCTTATCAGAGAAGAGCAATGGTGTTCATTATTCTAGGCTGCATAGACCACATCACAGCATGCAAGAAGTATTGGGTAAGGAAATGTAAGGACTGTGTGGTCTGGGAACATTTAAAGGTTTGCCAAAGTCTCTCTAAAGACAAACCTGAAACTGAATCTCTGTGGCACAAGAAAGAATGGGAAGTGTATTGACTGTGCTAGAATATTGGCTTTCTCGGGAAGTCACCTCAGTCAGTGGTGTTCTGGGAAACAAAAGCATTCCACACTAAAGAGAACTTTGTTACTGAGCTGAATGCCCCCGCCGGCATTACCATTTTACCTCATGGCCAACATTCTATCCACCTTTCCTTCTTGCTATGGGTTCCTCACATCCCTTTTCTACCCCATGGGACTGTAATTCACACACAGAAGCTGAAGGGTGTGCCCATGATTCAGGCCTGGCCAGGTAGCACACTGTAGTTGTTCTCTAGTTTGAACGTGTGGAGGGAATTTTTTGAGACTTGCTGAGATCCACTCCTAGATTTTTCTCATTTATACAGTCTGGAACAGGGCCTGAGAATGAACATCCCTAACAAGATCCAAGATGACACTGCTCAGGCCTGTTTAGGGACCACCTTTGTCAAGTAGTGTCACCTTTCAAACTCCAAGCCATGAGATCCCTTGTGTCCCTCCCTATCAGATAATTTAGTTTCACTTCATTACCTGAGATTACAGGAAATAAAAATTACTGTCCTTGTTGGGAGGTGCTTGTAGCTGCAGGAATGAATGTGCTAGAGAAAGAGGCAAAAAGACAGACAGAGAGAGAGAGAGAGAGAGAGAGAGAGAGAGAGAGAGAGAGAGAGAGAGAGATCAGAACAGCGGGGGCTAACTGAGCTCTTGGATAGAGTAGTGCCTGCAGTGGGTATTACCTTAGACTATGTCATGGTATGAGAGAGTGTATTCACCCCGGTCCATCATCCTTGGTACGTCAGTAGGATTTGTACTTCTGTTGCCTCTAACTAGAGCCTGAGTACAAGATGCACTAACTACATAGCTTCAGTAGAAACATTCTTAAAAAGATAAACAGTCAGTTAATTATTTTACAAATAAATCCCATCAAAGAGACATGGCTGATTTTCTCTAATTGAATTTTTCATATTGACCTAATTGGAATTTTAATATAATTGAACCAAAGAGAGATTAGAAAGATATTGGAAACTTCAAAACATTTTAAAATCATTTTTGAGAGATAAGGGAGGAAGGAAGTAAATCTTTATCAGTCAATGAACTTTGATGTTAATATGGAATGCACTGCAGAGCAGGAAGCTGGCTCCATCAACATTTGCATTTGAGCAACATTCAAACTCTGAACAAAAAATATTTTGTTATGGGATATTTGTACACTGTGTAAAGATATATTTCTGTGATTGACGTAAAAAAAAATGAACAGCCAATAGCTAGGCAGGAGGTATAGGTGGGACTTCTGGGCAGACAGAGAACTCAGGGAAGAAGAAAGGTGGGATTCACCAGCAAAAAATGGAGAGGAAACAGTAGGTATAGGATAGAAGAAAAGTAACGTCATGTGGCAAAGTGTAGATTAGTATAAATGGGTTAATTTAAGTTATAAGAGTTAGTGGGACAAGCCCACGCTAAGGCCAAGCTTTCATAATTAATAATAAGTCTGCATGTCATTATTTATGAGCTACTGGCCCAAAGAAAAGTCTGACTACAAGACCTAATAGTACAAACAAATATACATGGTTTAAAGGGTAAAACATCATAACATCCTTAACAGTTGGGTTTAAGCTGGAACGAAAGCCCCAAGAATGTTCTGAAGACTTTCATGTGAACTCATTTGCCTGAGCACAAAATTCAAGTCAGCACTAATAAATCTAACTAAATATAAGCCATAATAAGTTCATTTGAAACAATATCTTTTTGAGGCAGTAAGTCATTGGCAGCAATCCCAAAGCCATAAAATTAGCGAAATAAAAATTGTAATAAGACAGAAAATGATAGGCAATAACTTTACAAGTGTCAGAAATAAGAAGTAGGCACATTTGAAAATTTTGCTATTATTAATACAAATGCTGTCCAATGTCAAATTAAAGGAGCCTAGTCATGGACACTAGAGAAGATTAGTGAGTAAAGCCAATAAGTGAATTCCATGAGCTGAGTTTGTCATTGTCTGACTCCAATATTAACAGATATGATTAATTTTGATAATAGCCATTAGTGTAGGGCATGTATGAATATCAAAGCAAATGGTCATTACATGCAATAGTTTACACTGATTCTAAACATTGTCACCACACTGTGTTTTCCACATGGAATAAAATAAAATGCCCAGAAATGCAGAAATTTTGTTTTATTTTTTCAGTGTATCTAAATATACACAAGGGCTATAACCACAGGCATTACATTGAGTGATTGCTTAATTTGTTTTCAATTTTCATTTAAAGTCAATTTCAACTCTGCTTAATTATATATATTAAAGCAACAGAGTCACCTCTTGCTCCAAATGAACAGAAGTCTAAATTTACTCCCTAAGCTACTAAATAACATGATTGAAAATATTATCTTATGAAGGTAGCAAGTGCCCCAGTTTTGTAGGAAATGAGATGCGAACAGTTTGGCTTTGCCTACTGACATTTTATACAGATATGGCAGTTTATTTTCTAAGAAGAAATCATGGCTACAAATACCCATGAGTAACTATTGAAAAATACTGGTCATTTATAGTTATGAAAAAATCAAGTGTGACACCAATTTTGTTTGCAAAATGGCAGTAGGATGGTAAGTTTCAGTTTCCTCTGAACTCTGTAACAAGACAGTGTTTCAGTTAGATGGGAAGCCAAATTTTAGGCATGAAAAGTTTGGATAAAAAATATAAGGATATATAACATTTTACTTAGAAAATATGGGCTTAAATTTTCCTCCTGGACAACTAAAGGTTATGATTGTTTGACACCTCATTTGCTCACAGGGAAGAGCTTTTGAGATTTTCATTCTAGGCAAGAAAAAAAGAACTTCACATCTGGTGCCAATAATGGACACAAGTCATGGTGCACAGATTATATGCTGGCTGGATTGACTGGTAAGAAAGAATCCCTAATGTGGGGCTTGAAGCAAGAACAAGGCTATAGCACTGACCTTTGACATGTGCCCACATGATGCTTAGAAATATCTCAGTCACGTTGAGACAATGAAAAGATGATCCCAAAGAAGGAAGCTCATATACTGAGGATCTGGCATACAGTGCAGAAGGATGTTAGTCATGGCTCATCCATTCTAACAGCTCTCAAAGCTGCAGAAATTTACTTTCAAGAACTAAAGTATGTTGGTTTTCCACATTTTTTTCTTTTTCACCTTCAGTGATACTAAGTACTCTGGGCTACTCATGTCACATGGCAGATTCCCCTTGCTTCCTCTGAGACATGTAGAAGAAGCCCTCATTCTTCCATGTGGGCCTCGTCTTTCCCCAGTGTCCCTGCCATGCTGCTGTCGGCCTGTTTATGGCATTAATACTTTTTCTGATAAATCTCTTATACAAAAGGACAATTAAGCTCAACCTCTTGAACCCCTAACCTGAAAAATTTCAAAGGAAGTAGGATGGTGAGTTTCACCAGAGCCTGGCAGATGTAAAGAACTATGTTGTGGACAGCATAATTATGTCACCCAAGTCCACCAAAGTCCCCAAACTTTGTATATGAAATAATAAATTTTCCTTCATGACAACAAACTTTAGGGGCAGTTTACTAACTACAGTGCCATATTCAAAGAAGCAAGTGTTTTCTGACTTTGGGGTTTGGTATATGCTGCCCCTGCAACACTATTTGGTCAGTAAACAAATAGTTGGGAACTCCAGAAGAAAAGAGAAGTGGAAACTCTCCCATGATGAAAAACACTTGTCTGCCTCCTGAGCATTTTTATAAAAATGGACAGCAAAATACTAGATTTAGAAAAGCAGGCTTCCCACTGCTTCTGACTTACTCATGCTCATTGGCTCTACATTCTGTACCTGAAGTACTTGGGGGAAAACTGTACTGTAATTCTAGGAAAGAGTTACTCCTTAAGGAGTGTGTAGATCTTAGAACAACTAGAATTTTAACAGCTAAATGAGGTGCTGCCCAAACACAATTAACAAAACCAAACAGAGAAAGAATTTTTTAAAATACATTCTTTGAAGTATTCATTTTCATCTATAAGACATTTATCCTTTTTTCACACAAATACTTTCTAACCAAAGGAAAATTTTGTCATGCTAAGGACACTTTTCCTGTTGAAATTCCATTTTACATTTTCCCAGAGCTTACTCCATCAACCAAGCTGACTGCAACCATAGCTGTAAAATTCCCTGCAATATTATTCTGACTTATTGGAACTTTAATAGAATGAGCTAATTAACAGAAAGCTTTGTAATTGAAATTCCATTTGTTCATTAAAATACATTTAGTCTCTCTATTTTATAGGGAGGCTGTTTAGAAATAAACAGGAGTTTAGAGCTGTCCATACAAGGAAAGAGCCGGTTTGACTTCTGATTAGAACTGGAGAAAGTGGGAGCACTAAGAGTTCCATGAACT